CAGACCGTATCTCACACGTGGCCTATATAAACATCACATAAACGTCGCATCCGTCAACGACCCCAATGCCTGATCCCTCTCCCTCTCTCTTCCCCTCCGTCCGCACACGCACCTGCCAATACTCCTCAGCACATCATACGGTTTTGTTTGTTATACGTACGCTATGTAGTTCCGTAACGATGTGTAAACACATACAGATTGTTGTAAACAAACATTTGTTTTTATTAGAACATGCGTTCGTTCAGAGCTCGGGCGGTGGCTGTGGCGATGGCGGTGGCATGTAGCATGAGCAAAGATGACTCGACCACTGGAATTCTAAATCGGTCAGATTTAATATCTCGAAAACCTGTATATCTGTTTTTTTTAAACGGGGTCCATTTCATTTTAATAAGCTTCTTGTACCCGCTAAAAATAAATAAATAAAAATAAGTCAGTCTCTTCAACCCGAATTGGTTGTTGTATGCCGACGACATAAACTTTTTCAAGAGTACAACTGCAAAGGGATCTTTTTAACCGTGACCTACATTGCAATAATAATCGCGTGTTTTAAATATCAAAATCTGCACTCACTGTTTATGATTATTCTGTGCGATATAAAAAATTTCACAGTGTAACATAAGTCCGAGGTGGTAACGATATCACGACCTCTACTTTTGTAGGTAACACATAATAATACTTAATAAAGTGACAACTGTGATACGTTTTACGGGCACTATTATCATACTTGAGCACTTTTATTATAAAAGCCGTAAAAAAAGTTGACGAATTACACTATGCATCAGATACAGCCGTATGTTATTGATTAATTAAAAAAACTAAAATCACAGATGTGAACATATCACAATGTTCACACCGAGGCTTGCTTCCTGTGAATTTTGCAACTGATAATACAATAATGTTCTCTTGCTCGTTGACAAAGTATACAAGACGTCACTTATTTTGAGTGCGGAAGTGTAGTGCGCAACAACTACTCGTGGAATGTACACGCGTTAAGATTCCACGTTTATTTAAAATTTGTTCTTGGGTCATTGGCATGGTGCAGCCGTCGTTGTTAGTGCCATTTTTGTGGGTTTGATTCTTAATATAATTAAATTTTTATTCAATGTCAGAATGTTTCACCACCATGATATTCAATTATTCCTTATGTGAAATTACTCCACTAGTTTGTTATAATTATTAATACAAAGATCGAACACTAAGAAGTTTCCGGTTTGGTTTCCAACGGCTAGAAAGTCGTTGAAAACCGATCCGACTACAAGCACATAACAAAATTCGTGAGGTCCGCTGGTTCGTTCCGTGGCTTAGTTGGTATAGGGGCTTGCACGGTTTCCTAGGAGACGTTGGTTCAGATCGAAGGATTTTTTTCTAAGCGTTTGATCGTTGTATTAATAATGATATCAAATAGAATTGTTACAAAAAATTCGCAAGTGATACCTTATTTAGCCATATTGAAAGTATGTAATTTAAGTAAGACCTAGGTCCTAGATCTATAATGAAAACCATTGCCTCTACCGATGGTCGTTTTGACAGATTACAATAGTGAGGTCAAATCTTAATTCACTATCGAAAAACACGTAGTCAAATGCGAGTCGCATCATAAGTTTTTAGATTTATAACTAGTATTGCAAGGGGTAACCGATAAAAAAGTTTAAATAAAACGAAAATAAAAATGTTTACTTAATATGTCGTCAATTCGAAACTGCTTTGTTTTGCATTGAGTTTTGACGCGAGTTTGTCGGAGGTAGAATTTGTGCTGGTCAGCATAAGCTATAAGTAATGATCGTATTAAATTTCATTTTTTTAAATTTCGTTTTTCGCAAAAGAAGTGCCAAATTGCATCGTAAAATTGTCTTAGAGGATGGAAAAAAATAAAAAAAGGAGCTGCCCTATTTACGAAATAAACGTCTCTACCTAAACCAAAAATGTCCACCACAGATGGCGGATTTCTTTAGTGTTGTGCCATAATCGTAGATAAGTAAATGCCGATATGCAAATGTATGGCTTGAATGTTGAAACTGTTTTTTTTTGTTATGTTTGTAATTTGTATAGTTTACTGTAATCAAAGTATGATTAAAATGTTAATTAAAGTAAAGATTTTTTTAAAAAGATTTCCAAATACTTTAAGCTGTTTTGTATTTATGTGTTGGTATAGAATCAATATCTATATATGTATCAATATCTATTTAGGTGAATCTAACACTTCCATTCAATTTTTGAAAGAAATAAAATTACTTATATAATTTTAATAACATTATCGATAATCATTAAATCAGATATACTATTAATAATAGGCAAGTTTATTTGCCTAAAACATGGTATAACAGAAGATGTAGCAAGAGACAGTGTCAGTACAAACATGTAATATCACATAACCATATATTAAACTACCACAACAATAAAAATGTAACAACAAATGGTCACAAGTTACAAATTAAATTCATTCACCCGGATAACAGCTTTTGTTGTCTGCATATTCTGCACTTCAATTAACATTCTAGAAGTAATTGGCTGTACTGTTGGCTGTACAGTAAACAAGTATTCTTGCAATACATATTGGTCGAGTCTAGGCCAACGCGAGCGCAGCAAATTGATGTACAGCTAGTGCTGCTGTCTACACGCTCGACAAGTTTGAAAAAGAGCATTACAAATGGCCATTGTCTCGACAAGTTTGAAAAAGAGCATTACAAATGGCCATTGTAGATGAGTTTTGAATAGCTGCCCACACGAAACGAGTGGATGGTTTTAAGGAACTGAGAATACGTAGCAATGTCTCTTGTTTACTCAAAATTAAATATAAAATTATTTACCAATAAATGCGACGATGGAATTGTATTAACATGTAACCTAGTTACCTTCAAAATTCTATTAAAATTTGTGTCTTCAAAATGGAGCGAACAAACGAAGATGATATTTTATCCAATGTTTATGTTCGGCATTCCTATAATTTCCAATCATTCTTTCTTTCTTTTTTCTTTTGTAGGTAAATTTTAAAAATAAAAATAATAAAAAAATAAAAACCTCGTTGTGAATTATTTTAATAACAGAGTATCGATAATATGTCTGCTTACAAGAACAACACTATCTCAAAATAATCGTTATCAACAATTATTAAAATATACTAACAAGCAGGCAATTTAAATTGCAGATTTGCAGATTTAGATTGCAGGCAATTTTGCTTTGGTTACTTTAGAGTAACCAAAGCAAAATTCGGAAAGACTTATGAATAAACTGCTTAAGTGAGATACATGAGATATTTGGGCTATTGTATGATTTATAGACAAAAAATAACACATGCCGGTGTAATGTAACATTCGGTTGATTTCCGCCTTTTTTACTGCCGCATCCCTTAATGCCGCAGCGACGCATTTTAATCAATACTTAATTGTTCTCACTGTCCATATTTTTGTCTATTTCATTACAATTCATGCGAATAATTCACTAAAACATTTGACCAAAACATTGGTTTTCACATTTGATGTATGTACTTGCCTTTGATGTACTCCAAAAATGGCAAAATGAGGACAGTTGGCATTTAAGATGACGTTACGTATTTTCGATTCTCGTGTTTAACACAAATCAATGTAGTGCTATCTTTTTTGGCTTACGATGGCATGCAGTACTTAAACAAAGACAATAAAATGTTCTTGTTTTCAACGTCTAAATACATCATATATACATAAAGTCTGATTTATATATGTCAACATAACATGTCCTTTGGTTTCCATTATAGATATACTAAATCTATGGTTTTCATAGAATATTATACATAAGAAATGTATACATCCATAAATTTTACTGCGCGTCACTATAGACAAAAATGTACGTCAATTAGCTCCTTCCATGTAGTAATGAATTAATACGAAACATGATGAGCAGACAAACGTCAAAACAGCCATCATAGCGTGCCGGTAGGGACTATAGACTGTAAAGGATAAGGAACTGAGTTAGTTTGTTACGAATAAGAAATATTAGAAAAACTACTTTCACAAAGCGATTTGCTCTACAATCATTATATTTATTTATTCAAACAACAACAAAATAGGTCCATTAATATTCTTAGGCTTACATACAACTTAATTGCTAGGTTAGGTTAGTGTGCTCAAAACTATTATTTAAAAAATAATAAAATGCGAATAAATAGAGAAAAGTAATAAGTAGGTAAATAGGTTATCAATATCTTTCATTCGCATCTCAAAGCAACAGACTTCCATGAGACGTCATTACTATACTGGATGTGTCGTGCAAAATACTGCTGGTTACCATGGATTCAGCAACTTTACTCAATTTCAAATCATAACAAAAAATACATTTCCTATCTCTATGTAGGTAATATGTTATGTAATTATTTACATACCCGGTTACTACAGTTTTAATCTAAGCTAATTTGCGTTCTTCATCGTTAGATATGAGGCAAAGGTTCTCACATTCCGCGTGCTACTGCGTGGAACTCGCACACTCTATTCTACATTTTATATTGTTTGGATTAGACAATCACGTTGCTTAAACAGACGGTAACGGTCTGTTTCGAGTTTTTTTTTGCCAAAAACGTTGCAGCTTTTTCTATAAAATGCTTTGAATTCTTTTATCCCGACAATGATAACGAAACTGCGACCCTCGCACCAACCTACGTTTTGGGATCCCTCTCCTATCACAGAGACGAGAATGGAGGTATCCAAACGATAACCCAACAAAATCGGCCGGATTTCCTCACGATGATTATATTATTGACCAGCTAGTTAAAACGGAAGATGGGTTACCATATGATGTGTGATTTGAAGTCGTACCAGTCTCCGTAAACACAAGCCATTGCTCGGCTTTGCAGGCTCGGGCCCGGAGCGACAACGACGCCTAATTACGGGCGGATCAAATGGGCGATTTGAAGATTTATTCCTGTGAAGGTCTAGCACTTAGTTAGTTTCAATAAGTGGTGTTAGAGGCGAGGGAGCAAGGCGCGGCGCGGCGCGGCCGGCACGAGCGCGGCACGCGGCAGTCGCACGCCGCCCGCCGCCGCCGCCTGCCGCCGCCGCGCCTCGCGTGTCCAGAGCTGCGATCGCGATCGGCCGCCGCGTCCAGTGCTGGCGGGGCCAGTGCTGTGCGAGCCGCGACCTTGCCGCCTATCGCTTCACGGTGTGGGCAATCGCTTATCGCTGCGGTCGCCGTCACAAGCATCGCCGCAAGTAGACAGGTAACTTACTTACTGTGTAACATACAACGCAACTGTTGCCCATTTGAAGTAATTTCACGATTAACCATTTAATCAACAGCTACGTTTTCTGATAGTGTCTGTATTTTTGAGTAAATTACTTGACGTCCCTAAATTGAAGTGAGGCTAATAAAAACTGTACGTGAAGGGAAACAAAGTTGAAATACAAAAAACCTAAACTAAAAGAACAATTTGCCTATGAGGCATCGCAAACGCTCGTTGCCGTCTCACTGGTAGCGCGATTTTCGTCTCCCTCCTCCTGTACTCCATCCACGGTTGGATATGCTTTTGATAGAGTAAAGTGATCAACCCGTGTCAACCTGCTCATCGTTCGTATTATTATATCAGATTTGAGGACGTTAGTAGAGAGAAAAAAACAATGAGTGATTGTTGTTGTCGTTGTAATCAATTTGACGATTTCATGATTTCAGTGTAATTTGTTTACCTGAAATAAAAATATATTGAGTTCGGGTTTGAGAGCGGTTGTCGTAATGTTACTAACATCAAAAATAATAGGTACCTAGTATCCTTCTCCGTTTATCCGAGTCTTTATTTTGTCGAACAGAAGAGGTCGAGTTCCGTCGCGTTCCTTGTGATTTCGATTCAATTGGCGAATTGTTGGGATTATCTCGGAAGGCCGGTGCGCGGGCCGGCGGCGGCCGGTGGCGCCGACGGCTGCGCCAGATCCCACAGGATTTGAACAAATAACTCAAGACAAATTGTGATGATAATAAAAATACCCAAAAACGTAGGTGATTACAGATTATCTGAACGATGTCTCTAACTTGACAGTCGGCCGTCAATGTCTACAATGTGTGTAAAATGTGTACAATATAAGATCAGTGGTTAAATCCTATGCATTTCTGAAATCGAATACGGATCTGAGGTTTGGCATTGGTTATTTTTAAAATAAAAATCAACTGGATGTAATGCCATACCCTTAACAATAACCGGTCCATAAAAATTGTGTCAACAGCCCGAGGAAAGACTCCATCTGCCTTCAATAATTGTTGCGAGTGACCGTTTATCTTTTTTTTTTTCAATATTACCGGCCGGACGTAACATCCGGTAGGCATTTAAGTATATCCACTTAACACTAACATCTCTATATGGCCGACGTGTGCCTCCACACAGCCTACAATGACCGACTGTGAGCCGCGATGCACTATCGGACATGCGAGTACTTTGTGATGTGTGCAATAGCCGTCTGAGTCTGGCTCAGGGGCTGGTTCAACCATTTGATCGTGGTAAAATTACTTGATGGGTCATCCATCAGTAGCTACCATTAATCGTTTAGATCGAAGAAAACGAGTCGCGAAGTCTTATCTGAACTCAGTGAAATGGGGAACTGAGAAGACAAATTCGAAATTAATATTTTCAATTTATTTTATCTTCAGCGCTGCGGCTCATTACAACGGCGTACTGTTCACTTGAGCATAACGAGCATGAAACTAGAGGGGTTGGTTGTATACTGGTACAGTGTTTATACTATACAAATCATGGATTTTGCGCGATGTTAACCCTGTACTCTATAGTAAAATGTGTCGCTCTATTAATTCGTGGACAAAAGTAGGTCGGACGCAAAGCAGCCAGTGCAGAGTATTTTGCACATCATTTCAATTGTATTTGCTTAATTAATTTCTGCCCGAACAGAACGCCACTTATCATTTGTTCAGAAACAAGTGCAGCTCGATGACGACGACGTTGATGTCTCTCGTACGGACCAGCCGGAAGATGAATCGTAAAACTTAACAGTGTCGTTGGTGCACCGGCCCACCGCGCCGGCAACTGTCATAGTTGGTACAGGTTTCGAGTTATCAATAATCACGTAATGCAATGGGTCTTCATGAGGTCAAACAAGAACAATTTGTGAAATGTTCATACGTGATGCCTTTGAAATGTAACAAATGAAACTAATTTTTTTTTTTTAATATGAACTTAGACATTGTGACATTTGCATTATGAATAATCTCAGTACAGAGTACTAAAAAAACCGACCTCAAAAGTACGCAGCATTGCTAAGTTTTGTTGAAATCGGTTACCGGAAACTGCGCCAACCCGGATCATCCCCTAGTTCGCCACTATATGGAACTTGACACAGGAGATAATAAAAATCGGTTCTCACTACTCAAAGTATATTGAGAGAGGAAAATGCCTTGAATTGGAGAATAGCAAAATCAACCATTAAAATAATTGCTCCTTATAATAAAATTTAGGCGTTATTTATAAAAATGAATCTTCATGCGTGAACAGCCACCCTTAGAGGTGGATGATTTTGTTCAAAATTAAATAGGACCATTATAGAGGTACCCTCTTTCGAACAAAAAAGAATCATGAAAATCGGTTCACAAATACCGGAGTTATCGCGTAACCTACATACAAAAAAAAACATACAGTCGAATTGAGAACCTCCTCCTTTTTTTGAAGTCGGTTAACAAAATAAGAAACTACATCTCCATAATCTTATAATGATGGAACAGAAACTGTTCAGAAAGTTTGTTAGTATGATTTATACCTAATAATGGTAGGTGTGAAATGAGTGCATTGTAAAAGGAAATTGTAATAAAAAAATGCTGCCGAGTAGACGCAATGTACGGTACTTCAATAATGATTTGCATAACGCGCTTTTCAAAACGGACTAGAGGGATCGTAGAGAAGCTTCATATTAATCAAATTCGCGAAACTAAATAGGCGTCGCTCACGTGATGAGCGCTAAGTGGCTCGCGGGACGAAGTCGGCGCAGGCGGCGGTATTTTACGAGCTGTCGTCGTGCGGCTGGACGTATCGTTGTGTCCGCGGTGGGCTGCCTCCTCTGCCGCCGCCGCCGCCGCCGCCGCCGCCGCCAGGTTCGCACGCCCGAAGACGAATGCCTGTTACTAATTGATAAGCCTGTGGCGCAGCCCGCTGCTATAGTTGCGATAAATGCCCTCAACTTTGTTATGCGATCTTATTGATACTGTCAAAACATTGCGAAGAGAAACAATTTAGGCGTGACCGAGTCTATTTGACGCCCGCGATTGGCGGTTGGCCTCCCGCCAGATCATATTATTAATGGCATGTCATCATCCGCTTAAATCGTCAGCAGTAATTTGTTTTACTACCCATTACGGACCATAACCGAAGCGACATTCGGCGTAGGTTGTTAATATGATCAAGCAACTAAACTTGAGGTACAGTCGAGGAAGTGATTGATACCAGGCATTAACCTGTCGCTCCATTGCCGAGTATATAATTTATTAGTGTAGTGGTGGTGGTGTAATCAAGAGGAGAGAAATATAACATCATAATACAAGCGAAAATCGTTCCAACGGTGACGGCGGCGCGGCGGCGGTTTGTGGTACGGATGGCTAACATGTTGTACCTACTGAAGACTCTATAGATTTTATAGATCTTAGAAATGACAATTTACAAAAGGCGGCGGGGTTGAAGTGTTGGACCTATCCAAGATAATCGTGGCAATCGGCTCGGGACACGGCGAGTTTGGTTTGTGTCACGGTGCGTCACAAGCGAACATGTTTGCCTACTCAATATCACGTCGCGACTTTCGGTCCTAGAGATCAAACAAAAGAAAAAAGTTTCATGACAGCGTACAGCGCCTACAGTGCCTTTGACATCGTGCTTCTACTTGGCCACTTGGTAAATAGTTTGGGCGATAAATAAAAGAGCTCCGTCGTCTTACAGGAAATCGTGAGGAATCCGCGGCGGGCGCAAGGCCGAGGTCGGGCGAGAGTCGAGATCGCGCCCTCGAATTAGGTACTTCCGCGCCAAGCGAGCGTTATTATACAATCATGGTAGTCTACGCTTGATATGATCTCTAGCCTCTGACTCAGGCACAGTAAATACCGTTCGCAATCACCCAGAGGCGCGAAGGTCTAATTGTATATTTGAATTAAAAGTACACGATCGCCTCGCTCAGTTTTATAATAAAATGGTTTGTGGGTCTCGCGCGCAGAGCGGAAAAACGTTCAATCCACGTCGTGGTAACATCGGCCATATTTCCACCGCAAAGCTGGTGACCGATATTGTCAGTGTAGTGACAATTTCAAATGAAGACGAAGAAGCAAAATAAAATTTTATTAAGTACCATTAAACGGAAGTCTGATGTTTCGAGGAGTGACACATTATCTTCTTCTGGAGCATATAATTAATGTGCTGTCGTTTCATTGCACGCATTATTGTACTATTGAAATGACCGACGTACATTCTCAAAATTTTTAACACAATTTTGTCCGACAAGGTTCATAAAATAAAGGCAAATCACCATCGCTTCCTCGTGGCGACGGTGGCTTTGATCGTCGCATAATGTTTAGCGTCGTACGCTTAGCTCGTAACGCGAAGTAGTGAGGTGCCGATAGCTGATAGTCAAGTGATGTAGGTAGAGGTAGTTAGAGACTCGGCTCTAACACTCCTTCGGAGCCGCTCTTCGCCAACAATTGGTTTGTTCTTGCTATTACAGTTTGACCGAGCGTCCCGCCGCCTTGCTCCGCCCCTACGCACCTCTCTCCCGCCACTGCCGATCAATGCGATTTATCGCGCCTTATTCGGTACTCTAATAATCCATGATAACATTATCCACGGCGGTTCATTTCGGCTCTTCACTAGCCGTCTTCAATAACAGTTAGGAACAATGCTTCACCCACAGCAGCCGCAGCGTCATTTGCCTTACACGCATCTACTATACAAGGTGTAAATTTGAGACGAGGCAGCAGGGCCAGCCACCTTAATCCTTGTAGTTACAGGAAAACGGTTCTAAAAAACTATCCATGAATTTTGAAGATATTTTGAAGATATTTTGATTAGCATTCACACATTTTTAAGTTTTCACTTAAAATGTATGGTAAAAGGTTTTTTGCGATTCTGACATTTCGAGCACTCTTACCTCAGTTGGTCCCCTATGGGACCAACTAACTCTGTATATGTATGTATATCTGGTAACAATATAGTCGAGTCTCTATAGACTATTGATCGTTACCAGAGACTGG